TCGAAACTGGGAAGCTGGCTTCGAAGCACATTCTACGCCTAAGGATGCAAGGATGTTCAAGTATTTGTTTACCTCAACAGGATTGAAAGCCTGTTTTAGGGTTTCTTAGTGAGAGTAAAACCTTCGAAGCAAAACTTGAGATCCCTTAAGGATGGGAATTGTTGTTCGAAGTATCAAAACCAATAGTTGGTTTGATAATGTACAGAAAAGATTGTTTTTTCGAATTAAAACAGTGCAGCCCTCAAGGGGGACTTCCATATTTTTGAAAGTATGGACTGTTGTTCGAAGCAAAAATGGTCAATTTAAAACTGATTGATCGTACTAGCCATGACCATATGTTGGATGTGATTAAAACAAGCTTTAAGGGGCAAGGTTGTTAAATTCGAAGCACTAATTCTAAATAGAAACCAGCAAAAGTTGTCAACTGTATTCCATGAATTGGAAAAGTTCATGTTGGTTTTTCAGTGTTTCATTTGAGATGATTGAATCTAGATTCGAATGATGAGATTGTTGAGTTCGAAGCCCTAAATTTGCTTGTAAAGACAAACGGAGATAAAGTCAAACCATGCCAAACAAAGAGAAAAGTCTTAGCTGTATTGAAAAAAAAGCAATTACATCAAAAGGCCCTCTTTGGGTACAAATTCAAGTTCATAAAAGTAAGGAATAGAATAAATAACAAGATCATGGAATTTGGTCCAGCTATGGTCAATAAATTTCTGTTCTTTTTTTATTCTATCTTCTATTTTCTCCAAGCTTGGCTGCTGAAGTTGATAGGCTCTTACTTGATAAAAAAGTTTTTCAGCCTTTATTTCAAACGCTGTTTCTTTTAACCCTTGTTCCAACTCATCCATATCCATGTCCCAGTACGCAGAGTCTTTATTCTTGAAGTCATCATATTCTTTGATGAGGTTCTCTACTTCGTACTGGGTATGAACTCAAAGGGATGAAAGTTGGTTCAAAGATTGGGTGGTGACCACAGAAGTCTGGTGCCAATGAAGAAGCAACGGGAGTTGGTCCAAAAACATTTGGAGTTCTGCTTGGGCAATGGGGTTGAGGATGTGACCCCGAGTCATAACATCACAAGCCCATCGAAAGTTCTTGAGAGGAACATCGTCTTCAAGAACATTGAAAGGCAAGTGAGAAAAAGCCGCAAGCAGAAGTTGGGCTTGCTTTCGCTGAGCTGGAGTAGGGGGAGGTGGAGGCTTATAGGGGGGAAAACCGTGTCCGCAGAAAGGGTAAGCCTCAGTCTCTCTATCCAGCGGGGATTTTGCGGAGAAGGAGGTATAGAAGCTTCCATTTCGAAAGAAGGAGGAAACTGAGTGGCATTAACACAATCAAGCCAGTCAGAAGAGCAAAGCCTCGCCTTCTGGGCTAAGAACGATGGGTTATACCCTTGTGCCTCTTCTGGGCGTCGGGTAACTTGTACTATCTTTGTAGGCATGGAGGATGTGTACCATGCTACGAGCAGATTGTCCTCTAAACTGTGTCAGCGGTCGATGGGCACATAAGGATAAACCACCGAACTCCGAGTATCAAAAGGGAATTTTAGAGGATCAGTGAACTCAAAAAAGTAATGATTAACTCGCTCCCTTAACTCCCATGCCTCAAGTTCTGACCAGCTTCTCCAACCAGAAGCCCCAGAGGAAGAAGAAGCCACAGCCTCATCCCATGCAGAAGATTGTGAATTAGAAGAAGAGCTTCCAATGTCTATTTTTGAAAAATTTTGGGTAAGAGAATTATGAGTAGCGGGTGCGTAATCCAAAGGTTGATAGTTTGCACAAGCTTCCATGACTTGAATATATGGAGGTGGGTAAAGGTGGCTAATCAATGCATGAAGGTTCTTTCAAGGAAGAACAGCATCATCAAATAACTCTTCGTATACTCGATCAATAGAAGAGAGAATTGGTTTGGCCATAAAAGATATATCAGTCTGTTCGAATACTAAGGTGGTGGGGATGTTCAAAAGATTAAAAGAGAATTTAATGCAAATAATGAATGACGATTGCATTTCTGGAAAAATACAAAGCCCATGCACGTTCTAAGACGTAGATAAATGACCTTGATCCACTAATATCACCAAGTATTGGGTATATTAGTGCGGGGGGTAATGTTGGCTTCATATTTTGTATAAGCCAATTACAATTCAACGCGTGGCAGAATAAGGGCAATACGGGAAGACTATTCAAGTCTTCGATCGTGATCGTACACGTGGCAGTTAGTATTGGTTCTTGCTAGATCTGTGTAGCACTGGATCAGTAAAGAGATGGAAGGTGATGTGGTTTCAACGGTTACTCACATTCAAATTTAAAATCAGGAGGGAAACCTAACTACAGGTAATGGCATAGTGGAGCTAATTATAAGGCAACATGATTAGCGATCATGGAGGAGCCATTTGACGGTTAGAAGTGCAGTTCGATGGTTATCCTTGAGAAGTATAAATAGCAGAGAAGGCCCCAGAAAAACCCCCAGACTCAGATCCATAAAACCAGTTTTATCAACTTTATTTCTTTTTCAGTTTTACATTTCATGTTCTTTACAATGCTGTACTTTAAAATTCATGCACTGCACTTCGTTCATAGGTGTAGTTTCAAGTAGATTGTTGCTGTAAACCTCTACGAGACTAAATTGGATCATTGTAAGTCTTTCATTTTTACTTAATGAAATGCTGCAATTGTTCTTTATTTAATCATTGTCAGTTAATTCTCCTAAGTAAAGCCACCAGTAAAAGTCCTCTTCATTGAGACTGAAGAAATAAAACACAATCGTCTGATAATTGGTTGGCAATTAATATTCTGTAAGGACTGATTGATCCTTACTGGCACGTTCACAATTACAAAAATAACATTCGAAAGCCAAAAAAACCAACATAGTGAAAATTAAAAGTTGCCAAATGAGGTGAATTTGTGGGTATAAATGTATGGTTCTCTAGCATTACCCTATGACAAGCAATTTTTCTTTTTATAAATCTGTTCTTTATCAATGCCTATAAATATATTAAAACAGAAAACGAGAGGATAATTTTTTAATTTTGAATTTAAATGCATTAATTGCATATCCATTCAAAAAAAACCTATTACTCTGTCGGGTTTGGAGTTTTCAAAAATAGTTTTCTAAGTTTTTAATTTGTATTTTTATATTTTTAGTAATTTTGTAAAATATGTTAATCTATTTTCACCTAAATCTTGATATATGTAAAAATTATAAAATTTGTATAAAAATCTTTTGAAAAAAATCATTAGATACAACAAAATATGAAAATATACTAAATTTTAGTATTTTTTTATATTTTTTTGTACTTAGTGATTTTTTTTTAAAAATAATCTAAAATATTATAATTTTTAAGTATAATCTAAATTAGGTGTATCTAAAAGATTAAAAAAAAATACGTAAAAAATTTACTAAAAAATACAAAAAATAAAAAAATCAATTTCCAAAAAAACAAGTAAACCCAAACAAGGTGATTAGAATTCCCAAATATAAAAACTAACATTGTGAAATATAGAAAAACAAAACCACTATAACATTTCACTTTTGTTTAGAAGTTTACATCGGAATAACATAAATAACATGTACACATTTTTTTTTTTTTTGTTGGTAATATGCGAATAAAATTTCCCACGATAGAAATCAAGTGTGGCATTCCTTACTTTATCTAAACGATTGTAGTTCACCAACACACGTACGTATAACCTCAATAACTAATATCAACAATCAACACAAAAAAGTAATCACTTTGTTCATGATTGATCTCCTAACCAACTGATTAAAGTGTAGCGAAGTAACTAGTTGATCAATCTGGAAAAAATAAAAAATAAATAAATAAAAAGTAACTAGTTGGTTTCACATTGCTTTTGTTAGGTAAGTAAAGATTGATTAGACAAAATTTTAATTTGAAATTTCTAAGCATGGTCAAACATATTTTATTTGACTAAATTAGTAAAGTTTTCTTGTTATTTGTATTACACTAACTTTAATTGAAATTTAAAATAAATTTGATATAATTACATTAAATTTCCTTAAAGTTTTTATCCTATACTTCTTAGACATTTTTATTTTATTAATAATTTATTAGTCATATAAATAAAAAAATAATAATATTATCATATTTTTATACTAAAATGTCTATTTTATCTTATTTATTCTTGTGTCTTTATCTATCCGCTTTAATTTCAATCATTTTAATTTTATTAAAAAATAATTAATATAATATATAAACTTATGGAAATTATTATTATATATATATTTTCTAAATGTCATGGTAGTCAATGTAAGTTGCCCTTGTTTCTATTTGTAAACATCATGGAGGCAATTGCAATGTAATGTCACTTGCTATAGTTAATATGTTCCTGCTGGAATTTTAATAAAAAACATAGAAAAAAATTTCAGTTATCAAATCTCACCTTTCTGTATACAAGTTTGATTATTAACCTCTGTTTCTTAGTGTCTTCTATAATTTTCCAAATTATTTATCACTTGTCAAGACACCAAACATAAGTCTATGAAATAGGGTTTTTTTTTTAGGGTCCCTGGTATTATGACTTTATAGTATAAAGAATATCTAATATGTTCATAATGTCTAAGGTCCTTCAATTTGATCTAGAGAAATTCTGTCCAAATAAATTTTCTCCAACCCAGAGAAATTCTCTGTTTCTTTCCAGAGAAATTTCAATTTTGTTGAAAAAATCGCTAATGCTTCTTCATATTGCCATCGATTTGGAGAGTTTACTTTGAGAGGAAGCTTGAAATACTCTATGTCCTTACCAGAGAAATTCAAATCCTTTACCAAAGAAAATTCAAAATCCTTTATCAGAGAAAATTCAAACCAAAGAAAATTGAAACCAGAGAAAATTTAAGGGTAATCCAGAGAAAATTATCAAATTCAGAGAAAATTCAAAGGTAATCCAGAGAAAATTGCCAAAATAATCTAGAGAAAAATCAAGGGTAATCCAGAGAAAATTGTCAAATTTAGATACAATTCAATCCAGAGAAAATTGCCAAATTCAGAGAAAATTCAAGAGTAATCCAAAGAAAAGTGCCCAAATCCAGAGAAATTTAACACTCAACACTGTCATAAAAAGAAATTACGATTTAACCAGAGTTGAATAGTTCTTTAAGCATAAAAAGAAAATATCAGATGGTGTACAAGATTGAGCCCTCTGCTGGATCCGACTCAAGCTAAGCTCCATACTTCGGTGAACCATGTCTTGCAATAACCGCTTGGCAGTTTCAGCAGCTTTATCTAATCCATCAACCCGGGTAGCAATGTCGTAAACAATTCTTTCCAAAACAGAGGAAGTCAATCTGTTTTCTAGATGCGAGTCCCTAAGCAAGTCCAAAAGCATCCGAGCTCTCTCCTGAGATTCAAGTGTACCCTCCACGGTTAATCGTAAAAGACCTGGTATCGCACCTTCTTTAAGGCGGCAGGGATGATGGTGAAGACTCGCTTGACGAGACCGTGGGCGCGGCACTTGTGGACGAGGGCTAAGGCCTTTTCAAGGACTTGGTCGGTGTCGTCAGTGTCGTCGATGATGAGGCGGGTGGGTCGTTCGTAGAGGTCGTTGCTAGCTCGAGCTGCTTGGCGGAGGAGAGTGACGAGTTTTTCGATTTTGGACTTGAGTTTGGAGCATTTAGACTTGAAGGAACCGGCTTCGTCGGTGGTTTTGATGAATTGGTCTGCTAATTGAATCGCCTTTGCTAGGATTTGCTTCACTATGACGAAGTGAGAGTGGTCGGCGAACTGGATCGACGAAAGAGAGAGAAAGAGAAAAGAGCAGCGATGAGAGAGAGAAAGAGAGAGAGAGAGAGAGAGCGAAAGAGAGGAGGGTGATGGTTTGAAGGTGTGAGGAATATCAAATTTCTCTGTAGGAACCTTAGACATCAAAAAATAATACTGTGGATCTCTTCCATTACTAAAAATAGGAGAGAAATCTTAGACTAATTTTCTCTATGAAATATAATCTAATATATCTTGATATATACAACTTTCTTGACATTGCTTACATATATGAAAGAAATTTATATAAGAAAGTCTAACAATAAATACTATAGAATATTAAAATTCCTCTTTTATCGGAGTTGAACCTGAAACCCTTATACCACAAGCTACCAGCCTAAAGGCCCTAATATACCATTGACAATAATTGATCTCCGGACCTTTTAGTTAAAAATATATAAAAAGTAAATTAATTTATATTTTGACATATAAATGTCGTACAAGATCAAGAACTAAAAAGTTGTTAAAAAAAAAAAAAAAAAAGAAGAAGAAGAAGAAGTAACGTCAATCATCAAATATCAATGCCTAATCAATCAGATTAGTTTGTTGTTTAAAATTTGTTCACCTCATTAAATCACAAGGTCGAATCTCTTCACCTATCTCTGAACCTTATTCCCATGTATTTATTTATGTTTGTATTTTCAACTTAAAATTTTCTTTATATTAATTATCGCAATAAAATTTTAACCTAATTATTTCATTTTGGTTACAGAATATAAATATAAATATAAATATTTGGTCAAATGTTGATGGCTGTAAGTTGATGTCCAATGTGGGGGAAAAAAAGGTGTTCTGTTAGTGAAATTTGGAAGAGTACGGCTGGCTCCTACTAACCCAGACCCAGTCAAGTACTGTTGGCCTGTCCTGGGTTGACCTTGACCCATCAAACAGATCCAGGCCCATAGTAGTAATAATATAGCCCATACCAAGGGCAAAAGATACCGATTAAAAATTCACAAGAGTAATTTAAAAATTGAACCTTTTTTTTGTTGAGCAAATGTAATAGATTAAATAAAATATGATTATTGGACTGATCTATTTTTTGTATGTGAATGATATATATAAAAAAAAGTTATAAAATAAATAATGAAAATTATTAAAACAAAACTCATTGTAAGTCTCATGAATCCGGAAATCACCATCTAATCTCAATCTTGAATTAGAAGGAAGCAAGACCCTACCTAAACAATGAAAAATATTTTTAAAAAATACATACCATATGCACTCTACTACAAAATGTATAATTTTATTACAAAATTTCATAATATCAATTACAAAATACGTACATAACAAAAAATGTGGTAGTCAAATCACAAACTTTTACAACATCAACAACAAAATTTTAGACATTTTATTATATTAATTTTATAATAAAATTACAATTTTTATAATAGTTTTTCCAAAAAAAATAATAGTGAGGCAGGCTATACGGCTAAGTACACATGCCTATAGAATATTTTCATGTTGAAGGGCGGGGGAAAAATGGTGAGATTGATAGTGTAATTTAATATAAACCTCATTTTACATATAAGTGGTGTAGGTTTTATTTTATAGGTCAATGGATATATAGATAATCCGCATTTATTCATAAATTCATGTTCGTCTATTTATATTTTATTTAATTTAAATTATTTTTTATATTTTAATAAGTCATAAATGATATAATTATTAAAATACGCTTAATAATAATATTCATATTGACCATATAAATATTTCTTGATGTGAATATTCACACAGCAATGTAAATATTTACACTGTAAAATATGAATGTTCATATCACCAAGTTGTTAAGGGTTCAAAAAATATTTATAAGGGTAAAATTATTCATAAAATACCTTAAATATGAGAATTAGGATTTGTTGGATCAAATGTATACTAGTTATTGAAATACAAGAATATGTTATGGACTAATTAGGATAAAAGCACTTCAAAAAAGATTTATTAATAAATTTCCCATATATAGGTACATGATACTAGTATTCCTTATTTTTTAATTCTTGTATCATTTTAGTTTCTGTAATTTTTTACTAATTCAATTTTGACCATAAATTAATGATTTTATATCAATTTGATCCAATTGATTATAATTGTTAGTTTTTTTTTTTTTTATTTTAATACAGAGCTTGAGCACACAGCATACGTTATGCTTTTATAGATAAAATTATAAATTTATTTAACTTAATGAGTTAACCTCAATCAATTCAATAATTATTTTTCTTCAACAATCTTAATTAACATTATCAATTAGACGAAATTAATATAAATTTTAAAATTAAAAATCAAAATAAAACTAATTAAAATTATAAAAATTAAAATAACACAGCACAAAATAAAAGAAATATCATATAATTTGCCTAGGTAATAAGATGCAGTATTTGCAGCAAAACCCAATCCTTGACTTCCTACTTTGGTGAAAGGTATTTTTTCAATTGCACCTAATATCTATCTTCTCATTCTACTTACACCACTCTTTTACCTCCTTACACCCTTCATATAAGATTGTTTTTTTCTTCCAATTTTATCCGTATGTGAAATTACTTAAAGGGACAAAACACTAAAATTAAATGTATTTGATTATTTCCTTACACCCCCTGACCTTTCAACTCCTACTTCTCTTTTTCCTTTCTTAACTTTTCTTTTCTCTTATACGTCTCTTTTGAAAAACTGATAATCATAGTGTTTTGATCATCAAAAAAAGCAATGAATGAAAAAACGGTGGTGAAAAACCATCAAAAAAGTGAAATTGTGAGTTTTATTTTTTAGTTTGGTAGGTTTTTGTTTCGATTTTCTGGATTGGTGTGCAACTTTTGTTCGGTGTTTCGAAATTGAATAAAATAACATAATCCAGCGTCACAGTACCAAAAAAAAAATATAAGTCTAGTTTCAAATTGCCGAATAAAATATAAATTTCCGGTAATATAAAGCCGAATTTTTAAAATTTGTTAAGCTACTCATTGCCACGTATTTTTAGTATTTTTTTTTTCTTGGAAGGATTATACTTATACTCATTGCAACAATGCAAGTACCGCATTATTAGTGGAATCCAATCATGAATTCATTACAGATGAGATTTGTTAAGTTTTTTTATGAATACAATTTTTTCTTATTTCTAATTTGTATTGAGTTTTATTAATAATTTGACATACAAATGTATTTATTATGTTTAGATTTTTAGTAGTCGTTAAGCATTAATTAAATGGGCTTCTGACGTTAGAAAAAAACTGGATTTGTCATTGTTATAAAGACATCAGATGCAGGAGGTAATGGCAAAAAACTAAGACTTACCCTTGCTTGTGAAAGAAGTGGTTATTATAGAGACAACAGGAAAATCAATGGGAAATGATTGAGGTTGACAGGTTCTAAAAAGTGTGGATGTCCATTTCTATTAAGGGGGGAAAAATTACCTACAAATGATGAGTAGATGTCGCATGTCTTATGTGAAGTGCACAATCATCTGTCTGCTGAACATCTTGAAGGGCACTCATTTGCTGGCAGATTATCTAAGGAGGAAACATCCTTATTAGTTGACATGTCGAAGAGTATGGTGCGACCAAAAGAGACATTGGTTACATTGAACCAAAGGGATGCCTTTAATGCGACAACAATCAAGACAATTTACAACGCACGTCATCGACATCGAGTAGTACAGAGGGCGGGAAGATCACAGATGCAACAACTATTGGGGCAATTGTCGATTCAAAATTATGTTGAGTGGTATCGATGTGATGATAGAGAGATGGTGACTGACTTGTTCTGGGCACACCTAATTAGTTTGGAATTGTTACGTGCATTTCCACATGTGTTGATTATGGATTGCACATACAAGACTAATAGGTATCGACTCCCTCTCTTAGAGATTGTTGGGGTAACATCACGGACTTGACTTTTTCAGTTGCTTTTGCTTATCTTGGTCATGAACGAGAGGACAACTATACATGGACTTTAGGCATATTGCGTACTGTTACGGAAAATATTGCTTTTTCAAAAGTCATTATTATAGATAGGGAGTTGGCTTTGATGAAAGGCATAACAAAAGTTCTACCTATGGCCACTAATCTTTTATGTAGATGGCATATTAGAAATAATGTTCTGATGAAATACAAGAAGTTTTTTGAGACGAAAGATAAATGGGATAAGTTCATGCATAGTTGGAGTGTTTTGGTATTGCTTAGAACAGAAACATAATTCAATGAACAATTTTCTACTATGAAGACTGAATTTAGTACGTATCCTAAAGCTATTGAGTATGTTACTACCAATTGGTTAGAGTCATACAAGGAAAAATTTGTTGCAGCTTGGACAGATAGTAGTTTGCATTTCGGAAATACTACTACAAACAGGTAAATTATGGTCATTGCATTTATGAATTGCTATAATTCTTTGATCTTTATATTAAATACCAAACTATACAAACTTATGGGGCGGAGAGTTCTCATGCTAAATTGAAGAGGCAACTTGGATCAAGTCAAGGCAGTTTTGAGACATCTTGGACCAAAATACACAATTTGTTAGAGTTGCAGCATGCAAACATTACAGCCTCATTTCAGCAGAGTTTGATTGTAGTCCAACACAACTACACACCTACTGAGTTCACTGAGTTACGTGGTTTTATTTCAATTTGCAGTTTGGACAAAATATTAGTAGAGTCAAAGAGATCGAATAGTGTGGGAATAGATGTTGCTGCATGTGGCTACATTTTGCGACGTACACATGGGTTGCCATGTGCACATGAAATAGCTGAGTATTTTCAACAAGGTCGACCGATTCCCGTCTCGTGCGCAAATCCTCATTGGAGGAAGTTAGATATGCTTCCAGTTTCAGAAAGTGCTTTTGTGAAGTTAGATTGCAAAACATAGACTGATTTTTTTATTGAGAAATTCCAAATGATTGACGAGATGCAACAAGTGATCATTCTAAAGAAGTTAAGGGAGTTAATTAGTCCAGACAGTACATTTTTTATGGAACCTGAACTCAAGACTGACACGTGAGGGAGGAGCCGAGGTCGCGGTCGTGGTCAATTCAAAATCGATACGTCTACTAAACGTGAGCCATTTGCGTTTGAGTTTGTACTATTTGGGGAAGATAGTTATTCACAGGGTGTTACCATCTCAACTGCACCAGTTTGTAAGCAAGTGCAACGGAAAAAGGCAAAAAAAGATAATGTACGTAATTACATAAAACTTGTAACTATATACAAAATATATTTTAATAGTTTTCCAACCTCATTTTAATTATTTCATATATCCATTGTTGTATATTTGTGATGTAGGTTTGTATGACGCAATCAACAAATCGTATCTCTTGCTTCGAATGATTTTCAGAGAAGTTGAGACCATATATCCATCACATAAAAGATGTACAAACATATGGCAATTGTGACTTCAGGGCAATAGTTGGATTGATTGGTTTAGGTAAAGATGATTGGCAACAAGTTAAGCGCAACTTGTTGACTGAGTTGCATTCGAATGTAGTGCACTATGTACAACTATTTGGTTCACAAGAAAAGGTTGATGAACTTAACTCTATCTTATCCTACTTCAAACCCAGCCCTGGATTTAATCATTGGATAACTATGCCCGACATGGGCCATTTGATAGCATCATACTATCGAGTCGTTCTTTACCATTTTATCCATGTAACAATGCTTGACGTTTTACCCACTTAGATTAGTACCGATTGTAACACCTGATCGAAAAGATATTTGTATAGGATTTGTAAGCAGAAACCATTTCGTGCAGGTGACTACCGAGCCTACTTACATCATTACCATGTCTTATTTTGTAATTATATTTATTGATTTCTTTGTTATAGGTTTATCTGCAACCTGGTTATCCAGTACCTCTGATAGAAAATAATTGGATTCGTTTTCATCACCTGTGTGCTATTGGATGAGAGAAAGCATA